CTTAGGTAAAGGTGGCCTGAAGCAGAAGGGATGAGAAGAAAGATGCCCAGGGAAGTGGTTGAGTCACCATCCCTGGAGGTATTTAAAAGACATGTAGATGTGGTGCTTAGGTACATGGTTTAGTGGTGGACATGGCAGTCTTAGGTTAATGGTTGGACTCAGTGATCTTAAAGGTCCTTTCCAACCTAAATGATTCTGTGATTCTATGAAGTAACAGCTTAGCTGTAAGTGAGGACACTGGCTACACCTCTTATTGTCCATTTACATGTGTGAGGCAGCTTCGAGAGCTCCCTACATTTATAGCAAAAGTGTGGAGACTCTGTGTTACTTGCCTTTCAGTTTCTGGACCTTGAAAGATGAATTTGGGTCATGTTTTCAAATTTATGCTTTGTACCATAAAAGCTAGAGTAGTTTTTGTTTGGTTGGATTTTACAGCAAATGCTAATTCTCAAATAATTGCTCACTTCCAGAGAGCTGGGACTTCAACAAAAAGGCCAATTATTATGAGAGTTGATACCACTGAAATCTTCCTATTCCATTCTTGCAAGTCAAGTGATTTCATGGTTTTGTGGACTTAGTAAGGAGTGGAGTGGGCCAGTGCTCTGAGCCTGCTCTCATTTTAATGAGCAGCAACTCACATGAGTAATTCCCTTGATTTTTAATGGGATTAGTTGCATGATCACTTGCTGACCACTGTAAGAAAGTCATAATCTGGATCACAAGGTTTATAGCAGATCTTATAAATTAGTTCAGCGCAGAAGCAAGAAGGAAGCCGCTCAGAGCAGAAGGCAGGACTCTGTGTGGGACTTATGTAGGAAAGCTGTTGGCAAATACAGAGCAGTTTGCAGAGACAAAGCCTGGGGAGGTGATTTTGGTGGTGAGTTATTTGTGGATGTGCATCTGTTGTGTAAGAAGCCGGAGTGGGATGTGTTTGTTCAGCCTGACTGCAGACATGCTGCCCGAATGGGTGGGAAGCTTGCTTCCTGGTTTCCATACACCCTCCCTGTTTCCAAATGCATCCCCCACCCTGTGACACACTGACACGGTAACAGATTTCTTTCTGCTCATCGCACCGGTCGTACAATTGGAGGCTCCCCCATGGTGGGATTCACATACTAACGCTTGTAAGCAGATGAACTGAGTATGAGCTCCCCGAGGCTTGCCAAAATTCATTGCCCACTTGTGTTTTCTTGCCTGCCCAAAGCCAGCTACAGCCCTAACTCCATCCTTCGAGACTCTGCATCCAGACTTCCCTTCTTTCCCTTCTTTTCATGCTGGGATGCTTTTACTCTAGGTGACAGGATGACTTTCTCATTCAGCAAGTCTTGTCCCTAAGTTAAATGTCATATATCAAAAATGTGAGCAACAACTTGTGGAGACTGCCCATGTCTGAGCAGAATAACCTGGGGCATTAAGTGAAGGATTTTTTTCATCAATCATATGTATATTTGCAAGAGTGACAGCAATAATTTCCTTTAATGGAAGAGACTGAAGAGTTTTTGACTTTCAGATGCTCTGCAGACATCTAATTAAGTGAACTGAAAATCTGTGTATTGGTCCTTGGCTGCTAATCATCCCCGTGGGGAAAATGCTATGACTACCAGGAGGAGTTTCTGTGGTTTAGCCCTTAGCTCCCTCCATTCCCGGCTGCTCCATTTATCTCCATGGTTAATGTCTCCTTTTATCGGAGCCAGGCTGAGTGGAGCTGTTAGTCATTGGCTCAGGATATCCCATCACCTCTGGGAGATTTGGGATGTTTCATTCAGGCCTATTGCTGGGTTTTTTTCCCCTGCATCCGTCTCTTCCTCGTCTTCTGCTTTGCATCCTTCTCCATGGGCGGGAGGATACAGAATGCTGCTTTTCTAGGGGTTTAGATCTAACTTGCACTGGTTTTGAATGGCAGAACTGGGTTCAGGGAAGTGCTGAGAAAGGCTCTGTGCTTCTGCTGCTCTCTGTTTGGCTTTAACATCCTGAAGGGTTTCCTGCGCTGCAGAGCTGAAGGGCAGTCATTACCTTCCAGGCTGTGTTGCAGGTTCTCTGTGCCATTAGTACTCATCCATACAGATATTGTCACTCTGGGAGTGCTTTTTTAGGTGTTAATGAGAACAGCCGGGCATAGAGGCAGGGGTGTAGTTGCTGGGCTGTGGTTATATCCTTGCTCAGATCCTTTTTAGGTCTGTTGGGTTTCCTGTGTCATGCCTGAGATTCAGCCAGTAGTTTCCTCCTGAACCTCCTGTACAGCTGTGGAACACCAGCCTGTCTCTCTTGCTGGGGCAGCACAAATGCCAGATCCAACTTGTTGGTCCAGGGGCCGATCCACAAGCCGGCGGCAAGTGTCATCTGGGGTCAGGGCTTGGAGAGGGACTGTCGCACTCCTCCATGGGTGCCCAACCTTGTATGGCCTTTTAGAGGAGCAGCAACTTAACTCTTTGTCTTCAGTTTTGCACAAATGCACATATTGCCTGTTGGGATATTGTCTCATATGTCGAAGAAGATGAGAAACCTTCCATGCTTCCCAGGGACTTTGCTTTAGGACAGGCTGTGTCCCCATGAATTGCAGCAGTGGCCTCCCGAGTGCCTCTGCCTCCCCCCAGCTCCCTGCCATCCAGACCCTCCCAGCAGAGGCAAGAGCCAGGGCGGAAAGTGTAGTCTAGGAAAGTTTAGCCAAACTCTTCCAGCTGCAGTTTATTGTATCTGTTTTGCTGATATCCACCCTTTAGATAAATAGCGCTAAGTTATACACGTTGTGACTCTCTTGATGTGGTTAAAAAGGCTTGTATTAGCCAAGCTAATCTAACTCCAAGAATAACCATGGGAATTTGACTGTATCGGCTCCAGCTTGAATCAGTCACCGTGTAGTAAAGTGAGAATTGCCTTCCTGGCTAAAAGCATAGCAACAGTGAAACTTCAAGTCAATCAGTGGGGATTCCCTCCCCCTCTTTTTTTTTTTTTTTTTTTCCTTTGAACAAAACTCCTGCCCATGCCTGACCTCAGACACCCGGAGCTCTACCTACAAGAAAACAAAATTTCCCATTTTCAATAAAAACCATGTCTCTGTAGGCAGAAAAGTGAGTTAGCTAACAATCCACAAAGCTATGGTCTATTTATTTACCAGGCCGACTCCCTGATGGGGAAACATGTGGGATCTTTTAACTTTTTCTCCTGCACAGATGTTCCTTCTCTCCTGTGTTTCCTCTTGATCTTTGGTTTGCTGTAGCATACGGTGAAAATGCTGGAGATGTTGTGTGCCACGGATGAGGAGAAGGTTTCTGTGTGCTTAAAACAAAAAGGGTAAAAAACAATAAATTCTGACTGTTTTTTTCCCCATGTTAGCAAAAAAATATTTTTTAAAGGAAATCTGTTGAGGTAGCAAAACTGCTGTTAACTCACACACCCTCACTGTTGGACACGTAGCATTGATGAGACTAAATGCTGACCCCCCACCCCCCGCCATGCAGCTTTTGCTGCCACTTTAGGTATTTTTATTGAGCTGTAGATCCAGTTCAGGTGAGAAGATAGGGGTCCTGCAAGGTCAAATAACAGGACCGCTTGCTTTCCTTCCTTACCTTCCTCAGAGGCCACAGGGCCTGTGGACCATGGGTTGAAAGACATCTCTTCTGGTCTGTTGGAAACAAGTCACTGGGCTGGCAGGAGCTTTGGTGTTCCCCCAGTCCAAGGGAGCTGGGGCTTTTGTGTATGATCAACAGGGACATAGAGCATTGCATTGTACATCTAAACGTGGGAGAAGATGAAATGGAATACAAAGATTTGGATATTTATCTTGGTAGCACCATGGGCTGAATGACAGTGAAAGGGTGCAGAGGGTGAATGGGAAGGATGAGAGGCTCTGGCAGTTTTCAGGGCTGGGGATGGTCTCTCTTGGGCATGTCCATGAAGGTGCCGCTGGAGCAGGTGCATCTTTCCTTTCTGGCTGAGGTTGCGCATGGGCTTTCGGCTGGTGTTCAGCCTCAGTGGCATTGGTCCATCCAGGGTCATCACCCAAAGAGAAATTGTAGGGGTCATTTAGGAACACCAGGTCAGCGTACTGCTTTCCTAGGCTTGCTTCCATAGAAAGACACTGGTGGTCAGCAGTCTTCTCCACCATGCAAGCTGGCAATAGCTATCAATGCCCCTTTGAGCTCCTCAGGTTGAAAGCTGGTTGCAACTTTGCGTACAACAGGATCCTGAGCCTGATCAGCCCTTAGGTGTGTCTTAGAAACAGGTGGTTGTGCTGGGTAAGGTTTAGGAGCTGGTGGGGCAAGATCTTAATTGGTGTGGGTGAAACTCTGGCTCAGGTCCATAACCATGTGCTAAAGGGTGCTTGTCACAGGCTGAGAGCACACTCACCTTGAGCTGTGCTTTCTGGCCATTCGTGGTGGTGGTGTTCTCCGGGATGCTCTGCTCTCTGAGGCCTCCCTCCCTGCTTCCCTTTCTCTGCTGCTGTCCTCCATGTAGGGACTGCAGTGGAAGATACTCCCCTCAAACCCATCTCTCTCTCCCTGGGAAAGCAGGAGTGCTCTTCTGGACCAGGGCAGTGGGCAGTGCCTTGCCAGCAAGAAGGCAGAGAGGGTGTTTTATTAAATACGCTTTAATCTGGTTGCTTGAACAGCATTTTTAGCCAGGCGGGTGGTCTGTCATACGGACAGGTAAAAACGGTGTCTCCACCAATGTGGGCAGGCTGTGGATTAGAGACAAGGCATGTGTTTTGTAACGAAGGATAAGAGGCTAATTTTAGAGCAGCGGCAAGGCCAGGCTCAGATGTCTGCCTGGGCCCTGTCCCAGCTCTTCTGTGCTGCCAGAAACTTGCCCTCCCTTCCTTGGAGTGAACTGTATTGTACCTTTTTATGTACAGACTCCCCTGCAATGAGGCAGAGTAATTCCTGCAGTTGCTTTGCTTTGCTAATCCTCTTTTAAACCACACACAGACCAAGAGATCCCCTGGTTCCTGTGTGGCCAGTCCATGTTTTCCCCCTAAGATGTTTGTTCTGTTTCCTTTGCAGATGCAGCTTCTGGACAAGTTCCCTATTGAAGGAGGCCAGAAAGACCCCAAGCAAAGAATCATCCCTTTTCTACCAGGTAATGCTGTGGGAAAAGCCCTAAATAAGATGGGTTAGAGCGGTTGGGGACTGCAGTTCCTCAACCACCGTCTCTATTACTTTTTGTCACCACTGTTACAAATGCCTTTTCCCTGGGAACTCGTACATGCAGTCCTGTGATACCAGACCTCCACCTCCTCCTAAAATAACTGGCATGGTGTTTAGGGCTCCCAGAGGATCTTGCATCAGTTGTTCAGGTTCAGGTTGGCTTGTGTGCTGCCACACAAAGGGATTCGACGGCTTCTGGGGGGCTGTGCCTGTGGGATGCGGGGTGCAGCCAGACACCCTGAGCTTGGGCCGCCAATTGGGAGGCCACGGAACACCAGAGACACAGTCTTCTTTGCTTCTGGATGCTGTGGCTCTGCAGACACTGTTACTGTACAATAAGGAGTGAATAATTAGAGTTGCCAGTGGGATATAAAGGAAACTGAGAGAAGGTTAAATGCAAACAGGGATTTCTGCAACGCTGGCCAAAAAGATAAGCAAACATCTTTTTGGCCTGAGCCACTGTTCTTCTGACAGCTTTCAGAAAGGGCCTGGACATGATGGATATCCTCTCCTCAGAGTAATGGCACACACTTCCACACAGCTTCTTCCAGCAGTGACTGCAGGGATGGCATAGGGGAGATGAGCCAGACCGCAGCATGCCCTTGGAAATGCATGCTCAGGCCAGCTCTCTATTGTCTGACTGCACGATTCTGGCTGTTGGTTTAAAGTTTGGCTTGCTGCACTGCCTGTCAGAATAAATGGAGTATTTTCAGCCTGTTAAAAGGTCTGTTCTGTCTTTAACTATAAAAAGGAGATCCCAGCTCTTCCCCAAAGGTCTGTGAAGAGAAGCTGGGATGGGAGGGCTTAGTCCTCTCCAGGAGCATGCTGCGGTCCCCGATGCTGTTTGCAGGCAGAGCAGCTGCTCCAGATGTGCAGCGAGCACTGCTCCAGGGCTAGGAGGGAAGCAGGGACTTGGAAACAAGCCGCGCAAATACATGACGCAAGCATCAGAGCCGCAGTAGGGCAGCATGGCAGCCTGTCAGCCTCCACAGACCTTCTGGAAGGCAGCCCCAGGATTGGGGTTTGCTCTCTGCTGCATCCAGATGATCTGCAGCCAGGAGGAGGTGGCGTTGCCCTCCATTTCCAACCTGGCATGAGGAGAGGAGTCCAAGTGTGGGCTCTCTTTCCAGCTGTGCCACCAACCAACTCATAGACAAGTCACTTTGTGAAACCTCTGTATGATGAGGACGGATACTGCTGGCCTGCCTTTCTTGCTGGAAAGCATTTTGAGATCCTTGAAGAGCACTGTACAGGGGCACAAATGGCTGTAGGTGAGGTGCCATAGGAAAATTTCTGTCTGCAGGTAACAGTTGTGCCTCCTGTATTGACCGTCAATGGCCCATTTCTTTTACTTTGTCCTAGAAAAATGTTGGCTGAATGCAGGTGCCTGTATGCAGTTCTTAGTGACGGATGTCCTGATGTATGGGTGGGTGATATTTGCGGAGGGTGAGATACATCCCGTATGCCCGTTACAGCACTTCCTACCCTTCCCACCGTCCAAGAGCACGATGGAGATGGTACTGCTGCATGTCCTCAAGGGGTGGAGTTATATCTGGAAAACATTTGGGTTGACTTAGTGTCCCAAAGAGAGAAGCTGCCAGAATAGAATATAGACCTCAGCTGTATTTAATTTAAAATTTCTGTGATATACATTCTACTTTCGATATCAAATCTCTGTCTCTTTCTTGTTGAACTGCTGAAAAGGCCTTGTTGCTTTACCCGGGAACAAGGTGACTCAGCTAAATGTCAAACCCTGTTAAATAAACTAGCTGCCATAATTAGAATACGCATGGCATTTCTGCAGCCAGAGCCGTGGATTACTGAAACGAATACCTAGCTATAAACTGTCTTAATTAAAAAACAGCAGGACAGATGTTTGTACTTAAATCCTACTTTTATGAAGATGTTATGATCTTGCTTGCTTATTATGGGCCTGATTCAGCCAAGCTGGAGTGCCTCTGCCTGCTGGGTTCTGAGTGTCTAGGGTTTGCCTGTGGCACTTGCAGGCTTGGGCAACTTGCCCCCATCAGGTCAGGTTTAGGAAGCTGACATATGCCAGCCCGTGACTCCCGCTTGTCAGCAATGCTGTGGCGCTCTCCTAAAATAAAGGCATGATCTGAGCCCGGGAACTGAGAAGCCACCTTTGCAGGTCACTTTGCCATGGCAGAGGGTGCGTACGGGACTGGCTGGCAGGTCACCTGTAGCATGGTGGAGCTGCAGCAGTAGCCTGTGCAGCCACTGCTGCACAGGCAGAAGTGGGTGGTGGTGGTACCCAAAAATCTACTGCTGCAGCGAAGGGCTGGAAAGGAAGAACGGAAGGATGACCACAGCAGGTCGGGCCAAAGGGCCACCCAGCCCTGGTGGTGGCCTGTGGTGGGTCCCGAAGGAGGAGTGCAATCTCTCCCTTTCTATACCTTGACTGTTTAGCAGTCATAGCAGAGGTTGGGGGATCCAGGCCGCTGGGTCTGTTTCTGGCACGGGGAGGAGAAGAGGTCGAAACCAAGAGATGAGTGGCCTTTGGGACACCCTTCTTGTCTATCCACGATCATCTGGATGGCAGACAGGGCATGCAGAGGGTCCCTCTGGGTGAAAGCAAGCTCCTGCATCTCCTTCCCACAGCGAAAGGGCTAATGTGTGCTCAGTTGTTACCCCAGTAGGATCCGGAGCACTGGTCGGCTATGCATCTGGAGCAAGAGGCTGGACAGTCCAGGTCCTGTTGCTTGGGCACAGTCATGCTATGTCTCAGCTTACCCTGCACAAAGCAGGGGTGGTGGTGCATGATCCTGATTTATGAGGAAAGCAAAAGGTGTCCCACGGCCCTGTTCAGTTCCCAGCTGTACGTCTCTCTCTGTCCCACTGTCTGCACAGACTGCAAATTCCCTAGGTACTAGAAAGCGTTTCACTGCAGGTTTCATCCCCACCTGGGTGCAGATGGCTACTGCTTTGCTGACGTGTTACGTGCTGGCTGCGATTTTTGCTTTACGCACAGATGATAGCCCCCTTTGCACCCAACTGCTGCTGGTTTGGGGTGGTTATATGGTTGCAAATTACTGGGCAAGGTGGCTCCCTCTTGGGACAATCAAGCTTTAGTATTTGACTGTGCAGGAACCCTGTTACCTGTAAAAACCAAGGAAAGTGTAACGGAGTTCAGAGCCTTGCCCTCCAAGGAGAGACTATACTGGGTTCAACAGCAGGAAAGTGCAGTTTTTCTTTCCTCTAGACACCTTTATCTTATATTTATCAATTTCTTTCTTCATATATATTTTTCCCCCATTTCCGTCTTACACAAGTGAGGACTCTACAGCTTTCAGTGCCATGAAGAGGAGCAAGGAAATAATAAGCAGTGTTAGGTAGTCCTGTAAAAGGTGTCCTGTTGGTAACTTAGTAGTTTTGTTTTACTTTTTGAGAGTCACTCCCTTGCCTTCAATTTTTCTGTGTGGTTTCTTTTTTTTCTTTACTGTTCCAAGAGGGCAAAACTGTTATTTTCCCTCCCCTTCCCCCATTTTATCTTCTTCCCATGAGTTTTCTCTTCCTTCTCTCCGATTTCCCTTTTTACTGTTGGAAAAGTCTGCATCAGGGGAGGTGAGGCAGAAGAAAACCACATAAGAAACCCTGTTTGTGGGGTGGCCAGAGAGCATTTTTGTAGTTGGTGGTATGAAATTTTTGTTTGGGAGGATGGAGGAAGACTGTGGAAGAATTAGAATAAAATTTGCTGCAAAAACACGTTTCTAGTCCAAAGGCAGCTTGTCACAGTAAGAAGACACAGATGAAAAGCACTGTTTGGCTGTACAAGTGTGGCTGCTGGTTGAGCCCATTTGCAGTGCACTGATTTCTCCATCACCTCTCTTGCTGCATATCTGAAGAGCAATCTTTGGAGTGTGGACTTGAAGCTTTGCTCCCTCCCTGTCAGATACTTCTATATCTGCATCAGCAGAGAGAAGAGGTTATGGATTTGGGCTCCCTGTTTCAGGGATCTTGAGGTAGTTAATGAAGGAACTTCAGCTGGAAGGAGAAGACTGGTCTGCTGAGCTTCTGGAGAGCACGGTGGCAAAAACAAATGGCAAAGACAGGGCCATGCAACTCTGGGATTAACAGTTTTGCAGTGGTTGACCCAAGACTCCGGGGCTTGCATTGTTTTTCATTTCTCTTGGCACTATGTGGAAGAGCCATCTGGAGACAAAGCTGGAGTTGGAGGGATGTCAGCTCTTCTTGCTCCACCATGTCTTCCAAAGCACAGCCCTGGGGAAAACGCACTGCACAGCATGAAATCATCCCATCACGCTGGCTACTGGGCTGCAGATCCCTGCTGTGGAGAGAAGCTTGGGCTTTCCATGGCATGGAGGGCTGGGCATTGATGATGGCAGCCCCTTGCACTTTCTACCCAGGTTCCAGCTTGGTTCCTGCCTGGAGTTCAAAGCAGTTTTGAGCCCTGCTGATAAAACAGGAGGTTTTTGCATAGGCTGTGCTGGAAGGGGAAAATCCTCGCAAGATGCCTACTCTGCAGCTTCCGTGCTGCCTGGAGAGGGAGACATCCCGCTCGAGGAGACTGCTTTGTTTGCCTGATTTTCCTTACCCCTGGGAAGCCCAGTCCTATCCCAGGGGACTGGGTGGTTGGTGCAGGCTGCCCTACCAGCTTGGTCAGGCAGCTGCAGAAACAACACCCCGGCCTGGCTCCAGTCCCTGCCTCTAGTCCCTGCTTGGGATACTCTGCCAGAGAGGCACCTTCTCTCTTCCTTTCTTTCCCACTCAGATTTTCCTCCTCCCTTGATTAGGGTGAGGAAAGACGAAACCATCCTTTTCGGGGCACGTGCTGCCAGCGGAGCTTGGTGGCTGCGTCCTGGGGCACCGGGAGGGATGCCGGTGTGGTGGTCACCAGCCGTAGTCCGGCCCCGCTGTGCCCCGATGACCTGCCTTCCTCCTGAGAAGACAAAT